GAAAGCAGGCAAATTAGTTGAAGAAGAATAGGAACAGAGGAGAATCTGTGTTCCTTATCGTTTTTATCAATAGAAAAATTATAAATAATACAAAATTTCCTGTAGATTAGATTTCTTCTCCAGCATTCTCACCTTTAATAGCCCTACCCCCTCAGGGAAGAAATTTGAGGAAAGTCTTCACAAAATTTAGAAAATGATTCTTAGAAAAAGGCTATTAAATTCTGAAGGAGATGCCAATTTGTGGGGCAAAATGAAAATGATGGGCACACCTAGAAATCAGATAAATGTAAGGCTTTCGTACACGTTTAGGAAGTTTACTGGTTTGAACCTAAATGTGTGTTAGTTTAATCACTGAGAGGTGTTTCAGCAGCATCTGAGACTTTCTGTGGGTGTAGTTCCCCTTTTGGTGTCAATTCAAGACTTGAACATGAAGTAATTTAGGATATTCTGAGTCCAAGACAGCCATATGTCTCAGAAGTAGAACCCATGTGCTTTGGGGTGATGGAATAGCTGGAGGCCAGTGAATACATTCATTGTTGGATAGCTTTGTAGGTATAAATAATATTAGCTTTCTGTTTTTCACACTCGCAGCTATTTTGTGCACTGCACAACTGTAGCTAGATACACTGTACGGTGCAAGTAGATAGTGTCAGTTGAACTATTTTGTAGCTCCATTCTCTACTGAAGCCGGAGCTGAGTTTCTGTTTCCATTTCTAGCAAAGTAGCTGCCTTGAACAGTTCATACCAGTCATTAGAAACTTTGTGCTTCTTGAGTTTTGGTCTTGGCCAGCAGGACCGAAGGACCTTCTCACTCTGGAAAAAAATGGAGAGGACACAGCTGCATTTGATTACAGCTGTTGGTAGCGGGCTGCCTTCCCATCCAGTCTCAGATACCGAATAGTTTGTCAGTAGGCATCGTCAGCCACGGTATTGACTATCTTTGCACAGGAATGATTGTATTCTAAAAATGGAATTCTCTAATTCCTTTACTTAATAATTTATAACTAAGAGGTTTTACTGTGAGGCAGCTATAAAGTTTGAACAAACGGAGAGCCTAGAGGGAACACCACACTGTCATTCTTCATAAATTTAATTGACGTGCTTAATGCAAACCCAATAAAAACCGAGACTAAACAGGTGAGGACAAGCAGTAAATTTTTGAAAAAGATCACTCAAGGAGACTTAGACTGCTAGAAACATGAAAAGCGATTTTAAAGCTTAAATAATTAAAACTAGGTCATTACAAAAGAGAGAATAAACAGACTGTACTTCTGGAATCAGAACCTGCAAGAGACAAGCTGGGCAGTGGCTTTCTACTCCCGCGGTGGGCCACACGGGAAGGATGTGATCTTACACGAGTCAGTCCCAAAAGGGGCTGACGCCCGAGGCTGACCACTGATGATTCTCCCAGAGTTGAGGCACAAAGTATTTCCTTGTCGGGGAAGTCAAGTGGCTCACCATTGCACCCTCTAAATTCTGTTCGTGTATTTTCATCCTGCATACCTGTGGGGCATCAGTTGTATCTTATTACAGCTCTGCTCTGGAAAAAGACCAAGACCGCATTACCCCCTTGGGCCTGTGTGGTGGGCCAGGATGGGAGTGTCCAGGCAGAGGCACATGGAAGTCTTGGTTGTTCTTCCGCAGCAGTGGGCTGTCACTGTGTGGTATAGACTGGTGGTCTTAGGAGAGACCTTGGAGTGGGTATGGGGGCCAGTGAAGGTGCCATTGGTGGGTACTGTATATTATGTGTTGTTATCTGTGTCTGTTTCAGGCACTTGATACACCCTTATGCTTAAGGTTGGGAGATTTTCCTCCACTTAGTCTGCCTGGTCTGTTAGCAGGGTCAGGTGCAGAGTGAACGGCTACAGGAAGGGGAAGACGCTTCACCTGAAATGACTTCCCCAGTTCCTAATGAAGCCAGTCGCTTCCCATGTCAGCCTTTGAGAACACTTGCTATGGTTCTCATCTGATAGTCTGGGCCCGTTCTGTTCTTAAATAGATGCTGCTGCTTTTGCTTCGCATAACTTGGTGGTGAATGTGGGATCAGCCCATGGAATCATCAAAGCCCATCCATAGATGGGCCTGGTCAGAAGCACATTATAACATGATCCTCAGAGAGGAAATGTGAGAGGAATTTTCTGGATTTTTCCCTTTCACAGACCGAAGGGATGTATCATGAGATGTCCAGTTTCTGTCTCTGAACATTGTTGTCAGCATTGGTACTTGGAATGGTTGTGGCCCTCTTGAAATCAGGAGGGGACACAACCGAAGAGAATGAGAAAGGGTGGAAAATAATCCTGGATTATTTGTGTCATGCTTCAGTAACTGTGAAACAGAGCAAGGTCCCTCTCTTTGTGCATCTTAGTTCCAGCAGAGGCATACACTTAACATGCACCTACATTATTAAGTACACAGTGGCTAATTACAATGGAACAACATAAAGCAGGACCTGGATGAATACTAAAGCAAGGTTGGGTCCTTGGGAGTGTGGGGCTCTGTACAAGTGCCAGGCTGGCCCTGTAACAAGTTTACATTTCATCCCATGTGTTGCAATGGCCTAGCACAGGCCATTAAACTGAGAAATGACAAGAACACACTTGTTGTTTAGGAAAGAAAAGATGTGGCAGAGCGGGAAGGGTGGGGGCATTTGTTAAGAGTGGTCGAGCCTATGAGAAGGTAACATTTGCACCAGGACCCAGCTGTGACAAGGGACGCAGAAGAGCATTCTGGCCAGAGGACACAGCGGATGCCACCTCCCTGTGTGCATCTAGAGCACATTTAAAAAGCTGCAAGGTGCTGCCATGGCTGGAACTGGGGAGCACAGAGGGAGAGTCGCTGGATATGAGTTCCAAGAAGTGTTGGGCTGTTAGCAAAGATGGCTGTCCCTCTGAGTGAGACAGAAACCTTCGGAGGTGTGTGTGGAGGGGGTGATATATCTGAGCTGTGTTTTAAAAAAAAAGAAGCCCTCAGCAGAAGCACTGAAGAAAAATAAAGAAGGGTGGGGGGAATGTCAGCTGGACCAGAATATGATCCTTGGGTAATCAAGGTATAAGTTCAAAATTTTAATATCTTGAAAAACTTGCATCAGAAGCCATTTTGCATATCCTAATGTGAATACAAAGAAAGCTTCTGTGGAGGCTGATTTTTAAACATTCTTTCAAAAAATACCATTGAATTGTTTTTAGTAGCAAAGCTACACAAGTCTCTACAGTGACGTACTAATGCACGTATGTTCATCAAATCCCGGTTTGAGTCAGTGATTCTGAGGTAGTGAGATTTCTAAATGTGTAGTGTCGAAAAATACTTTCCTTTTCAAAATAAATAGGTAAGTTTGTCTGCTTTTATTCTTGAATAAGGTTTCCCATAAAATAAAGGGGACCTTTCAGCCTTTTGATCTGGGGCTGTTTTCCACCTGTGATGTGAGGTGGTAATAAAGCGAGTGTTTCTACTTGCCAATGGTAAATTCTGTGAGCCCTTCATGTTCATAGAAAGACATGTTGAGTCGACTAGCTGTTGTGAAATGGCAGCTTTCTATTCGACCGTCCATTACACAAACATACATATGCCTTATATTGTGACAGTAAGCATACCTTTAACACCAAGTAAGATGCCAGGCGTGGTGGTGCACACCTGTAATCCCAGCACTCAGGAAGCTGAGGCAGGAGGATCGCTGTGAGTTCGAGACCAGCTTGGGCTACGTAGTGAGCTCAAGGCCAGCCTGAACTGCAGAGTGAGACCCTGTCCCAAATAAACAAACAAAACAAAAAAACACCAACTAAGGGTTTTCTTGGCCAGTTATTCTTCTCTGCAGCGTATGCATGGATTTCTGTGTAGGGTCAGTACTTTTCGTTGAGTCAGACTGAGAATCCAATCTCTTATGAAGCAGCTCTTTAATTTTAAACATAAATCCTTTTAGATCACGAATGGATAGTTCCTATAAGGATTAATTGTGCGAACTCAGTGATGAGCTGACGTTGGCTTCAACTGAAGATTTACTTTTAAAAGCAGGATTTTGAGATTAATTCTTTTGACGCTTCAGTAAATTCTAAAGAATGGTGTTGTTAGCCTACTGGATTTCTCTAAGTGAAGTCAGGGTCAGGACGGAGGAGCATTGATAGAGCACCGTCCATGTGCCAGTGGACACCATTTGAGCCCCACATCACCAGTTGGGAGGTGGCATACAGAGGCTCCAAGAGGCTGGTGGCTTGTTCCAAGTTATTTTGCGAATAAATGTGAAGATAAAGTTGGCACCTGTGCCTGGGTAACAGAGCTCATGTTAGCTCTTTACCGGGGCTGCCTCGTAAAGGCCGAAGTAGATGTTCTACGTTAGCTTAGATCAGTTCTCTTTCTCCTGGGTCTCACTTCTGAAGCTGTCACCTCCATCAGCTCTGATTGGACCTTAATAGTCCTGTGCAAAGGAGCGCAGTGAGATCCTTCTTGAGTCACTTTACAGATTTATTACTGTGCATTTTGTGTGGAATTTTAAATGCAGTGACTATTAACTATTAACCAAGCTCCAAAATTACAGTGAAATCACTGTCATTTTCTTTCTGTTTTAATAAGATGGACTTATTTAACGTCACCCTTTAAGGTGTATTTTACGTAAAGACTTCTTCCTGAAGTTATGATGCGTCAATTTGCAATTAAAAGCACAAAGCCAGTAATACTTGAAGAGTATATAACATCATGATATGAATCATGCTTTATTATTTGTACCAAAGGTTCTGAAAAGCAGTTATCATTATTGATTTCTAAAGGGAGAGCTGATTAAGGAACATTCAGCCAGCCCTGTGACGACATTGGAATTTTTAATTGCTGAACTATTGTATTGACTGTGTAGTGTCTCTTAGAGAGTCTCATGATTGCCTAAAATTATCCTGGTCTAAATGTCGTATCAAATTGGGAGGAAAAAAAGTTTGAAAGGATAATGTTATCAAATGCTTTCATCTTAATAGTTGTGTATTCATTTTTCCTACTTTTTTTGCTTCCCCCGCCCCCAGGAGAAAAATTCAGAGTGGAGACAAGGACCATTGCTGTTGACTTTACATCAGAGGATATTTATGATAAAATTAAAACAGGCCTGGCCGGTCTTGAAGTTGGTGTTTTAGGTTTGTATTTTTCCACATTTATATATTCTTGTGTATTTATTACCTAACTTTTACAATGCCTTTATTCTCTCTTTGGATAGATATTAGGTATTTAGTAAATTAAGTAACTAGTGAAAAGAAAATTGTCTTATTCATACAATTGATCATCCAGTGATACAAGTCTGTATGTGTTTAAATCTTTGCATTATGTATATATTAACTAATTTTGTACATCTTTCGGTTATTTTTCTGCCTGCTTTATCTCTGTTCTCATTCTTCATGTATATATTCAGAGATAGTTGTAGTAATCCTTTAAGATAGTTGATAACAAGCCATTTAGTTGAAAAACATGAAGGCTAAGAAAAGTGTTCTTAGCCTTTTGTTTATTGTTGCCTCCTTGAAAAACCTTTTTAGACATTTATTTCCTCCCAGTCTCACCCTCTACCCCCATGAAAATTTTAATACCGTGACATACTGTATATCTATGCCTTGTACAGAAAGAGCAGGATTGCCCCCGTCACATCAAGTTTTGTTCCCTCTGAGGATCTGTACCTCAGCCCAAAACGCATGGTTTCCACATGGGTGATATGCTGCTGGTCACATGTAGATTGAGTGGCATAAGTCAGTGAGGCAGGGCCAGGGATATAGCTCAGTGGCACAAGTGCCTGCCTAGCAAGCACAAGGTCCTGAGTTCGATTCCCACTCAGTGTTCAATTCTCCCACAAAAAAAAAGTCAGTGAGGCAGTGTTCTATTAGTTTTTTTCTAAGTTTTCTATTCTGCTTTGTTGCTCCTCATTTGTATTAGCAAAAATAAGATAGTCAGAGACGTTAAACTTTGTTGTGGAAAAGATTCACCAGAAAACATTTAAAAGAGAAATGGCCCTTGATAAATTTCTCACAGTTCTTTGAGAGTCATTTCCAGAAACAGGGCATCTAGTCCAGAAAAGCCACTTCCGCAGTGAATCCTTTTATCCTGTTTCCTAAATAGTGTGAACCAGGAAATTGCCGTGGTTTTCTTCATTGGCCCATAAAAGGAAGGTGAATGAAGAGGAAACAAGTTTGTAATGTTTCCTAAAATTTCTTTACTCATAGAGACTCAACCTCCTTTTTCATCCTATAAAAATGATTTTTTTGTACATGTACCAATGTCCACAGGAATGTAAACATATACTGCACTGTACTAATAAACTAAAGCAAAAATTTTAAAATGCCAAAAAATACTTGTAATTTCTAGATAAGAAAGGCATATTTTAAAAAATCAGTTACACGTTGTAGGCCTAAACAGTACTCTCAGACATTCAGTTAATCCTGGCTTTGACATGCTGTCCTGTGAGATGCTTTCTCTGGTCTCTGTCCCCCATCTCCATGTCCCCTGTACCCACAACTACTCCCTCACTTAATTGGAGAAGCAGCAGGTAAATGACAGATGAAAACATGGGTCTAGTTTGTGCCTTTTGTGTCGCCGTGTTCTCCCCTCAATACATACAGTGCCAGAAGTCTTCCACAAGTGCCTCTTCCTTGATATAGATCTGGGATACATTAAGTACTACTAACATCTGTGAAAATCTTGGCTGTTTTTAAACTTCCAGAACAGCAGCTGTAACTTACTAGTTAGTATAAACACTGCCGTGCTTTATCCCAACCCCATTTCAAACTAGTGACGGACTAGGGCGGTGATGGTGAACCCGTTAGAGCTTTCAATGATACAAACAGCCTTCCGTGGCACACGTGCCACAGGTTTGCCACCACAGTGGATAGGAAGGTGGCTTGAGACCCGTTAATGAAAGGTGACTAAGAGAAGGTGTCATTGTTTGCCTTGCACATGTGTTATTAGAGAATGACTTACTTTTAGAAGTACATCTCTTCACATTTGTTCTTAGCTCTGTGTACATTTTAGCTGCTCTTCACTGGGGCGTGGTAGAACTATAGGTACTCTGGGATTATGGCACTGGAGACAGAAAATGCTGGCCATCCAGGTGGTGCAGAGCTCAGGGTTGTATAAGACATTCTTCAGCTGCTCTCTCCTGACCCAAAACTGTACAGAAAGGCTGTGAGTTTAGGCACATGAAATTGATCTGTTAAGGATGAGAGTGCAGGAACCTCTTGTCAAGTATTTTGCTCCTGTTTCTAGTATTCAGGAGTTCAGGTCAATACATGTCTATACATAAGCACTGATATTTAGACATAAGGCCTGCTGTTTTCCCAGGCTTTCTGTGCTGATAGAGGCACTGTTCTTATAGTCCAGCTCCTTAGTTACATTGCAATTTGTAGCTTAGTAGTTTGTACCCGCTTCAGTCGTGCATTTATTTGTTGATTCATCAATGAGTAAATAGGAGTTATAGCAATGAGCAAGGAAAACTATTGCATTGTTTTTGTACAGTGCTCCAATAGGAAAGAACAATGAACCAAATTGTTACTTGTGAGATAAGTGTTTTACAAAGGACAGAGCGGTGTGATAAGAGCATACAGGGGATGAGGAGTTGGTATGGGAGAAATAACAGTGACTTGGTCTGGCCAGTGGGATAGGACAAGGGAGGATACCGGAAATGTTTAAGTAGGCAAAGCAGCATTTCGTGAGGGATGCAGGCAGGATAAAGAAGAGGGAGCTCATGACTTCTGGGTTTTGGCTGAAGCATTTGTATTAGTAAGATCATTTGCTAAAATGAGTCCTGTGGGACAGGTATATAGCTCAGCAGCACAAGCACCTGCCTGGCAAGTGCAAGGTCCAGAGTTCGATTCCCAGTACCAAGTAAATAAATAAATAAATAAGCAAGCAAGCAAGCCCTGGGGGAGGAGCCTTTCTGGGCTTGAGTACATTTAAGTTTGGAGTTCTCCTAGGGTGTCCGAGTAGGAACACTCAGGTGATGGGTGGGGTATGTAGGCCTAGGCTTCAGGAGAGCTTTGGCTTGGAAAGCCAGCTGGGAGATCGGTCACCTAAGCGTAGTAATTTCAGTGGAACAGTGAGACTGGAGATCATCTAAGGAGAACACAGAGAATGTAAAGAGAAATGTGTAGACAGCTCTTTAGACTTCTCTTTCCTCTCATCAGAGGCTGTCTGGAACGGATAGCATGGAGACATCCTTCCTCGCGGGAGTTCAGCGCTATTCAATAGACCTCTAACAAGGGCCGCATAAATAATTTGAACTTCTTTAGTAGCCACATTTTTAAAAAGATGAAAAGAAACAGATGACATTAATTTTAATAATGTATTTTATTGAACCTTCTATATCCAGAACATCATTTTAACATGTAGTCAATATAAAATTATTGAAATAGCTTGCCTCTTTTTCATACTAAGTCCTCCAAGTCTGCTGTGTTGTCCTACACTCGTAGCGAGTCTCAGCTCTCCCTGGGCCCATCTGTGAAGTGCTGGGTAGGCACATGTGGCTCATGGCTGCTGCTCTAGGCGTCGCTACTCTGTGTCATCTCGGCCAGCTCTCCCCTTCAGCTTGTGTGAGAGAACCGTAAATATAATTTCTAAATCTTTTTCTATGCTTTAAAGCAGCGTTCCCAGCCAAAAGGCAATTTGGCAACGCCTGGCAATGTTTGGTGGCATTAGTCACAACTTGGCCGGGGTGGGGTGGGTGCCTTCATAGTCCCCAGCATGTGCACATTCTTCAGCGCTCCTAGGACAGCTCCCACAGCTAAGGATGATTGGCCTCTAATGTCGTAGTGCTGCAGTGGAGAAAGCCCACCTTCAAGTTGCTGTCATAGACAGTTCTCCACTTTAGTGAAACACACATGACTTTGGTTTGGATCTCTAATTGGTTACCAATCAGTAATAAAAATAATTGTAGCTAATGTTTATATAATCCTTTAAAGTGTATAATAGCACTGTCTTAGTTACGTTTTTTGTTGCTGAGACAAAATACTGGACACCCAAAGTTAAAGGAGGGAAGGTTTATTTAGCTCATAGTTTGGTTTCAGTCCATGTTCAGCTGGCTCCAAGGCAGGGTGGCATGGCACCCACAAGGCGCAAAAGCAACAAGGTGGGGAGGAGACAAGCCTCTTTCTGTCCCTTATATTGTACCCAGGCTACTGGGATTAGGGCGGTGTCAATCCAGTCAGTGGAGGGACCCAGCAATCACCTACCCTTAATCCCAGCACCCTTAGTCCCAGCATTACACCACCAATCACACTCTAAAAGCCCTATGGAAAAAAAAAAGCCAAAAAAACCCTATGACTGCATGAGGCTTTGCGGGACTGTCTAGACACTTTCACATTATCTTACAAGGTGAGATCTACGTTTAGTTTTCCTTGTGAGCTGCATTTTATGTTATTGCTAAGTCATATTTCAACTTTATTCTTTTAGTTCCTTCCTAGTCTTTGATTACCTGTTTTAGCTCCTTTAATTTCTTTCCTTTTTCCTCTATCCCCATTCAGATTCCACATATGCCTCCCTACCTTTGTCTGGCCAGCCCAAAATCATCTCATTTCATCACCTCCTTCCTCACTTAATACATGGTTATACCATATGTAGCTTGTTTTTGACCTAGCAAATCTATATTAAGTCATAAGGAGGAATTATTTTCTACTGAATTTTAAACTTGTGATGATAAAAAGAAAAATAAATTACCAATATGTACTCAATTTGTTTGAACAGTGTTAAGCATCAAACTAAATTCATTGCTTAATAAAGAAAATTAGTATTTTCAGAAATACAAAGGAAAATGCTAAAGCCCTTTGTCATGAGAGAAACATTGTTTTCAGTGATATAATTGGAAAGAAAATAGCCACGAATTATATGAATTTATCCTGAAAGGTCACCGTGACTTGATGAGACTATAAATGCTGAAGGTTGAGAAGTTGGATTTTTAATTCTATTCTGTAAGAAAAAGTAAGCATCTGCTGTCTTCTTTCAGGCCAATGCCAAAAAATACAGATTTCAGCAAGCTTATGAAACTTCAGCTATTTAGAGAAAATGACATCCGTACTTCTTTGAATAGGCAAACAATTGGTTAACACAGTGTGATTGCTGTAATGCTTGCTTGATCCACAGGAAAGACTCTCGTCTGCGTTCC